TAAGGCACAGAGCCATAGGTTTTTCTTGTTTTCAGTAATCTCTTATATAGTCTGTTTTGCTAAGCTCTGTACTGAATAAAAATTATTCTTGTTTCTAAATGGTCTGTGATGTTGTACCTGAGTTCTAAGTCTAAATCTTGTAGCCTAACGCTCACACCACACATGCTACCTTGGTAAGAGTGTGCATCTCTGAGTGAGTTGCTAATGTGTTAAATTCCAGATACCAACTGAGAGTTTGAACCTCTAATCTCAGGTTGGGGGGGAACTACTGTAGAGGTTCTGGTGGCACATTGTTCTGAAACCAGGGAGGGTATAGACCATCTTGTGGTTTGTTGTTTAATGTACTGTAAACGTACAGGGTTCCCTCCCATTCCTAGACTGGCTTGGGGGGGTAATCCCTGTACACAGTCTGGATCATGTTGTTGCCTCATAAAATGATCTATGAGTGGAGCTTCCTGATTTAAATTTCGGATGTGGAACATGTGTTCTAAAATTCTAGATTTGACGGGCTGAATGGTACTCCCAATATACTACAAATGGCAACCACATTAAAACAATATATACATTTTTTAGAATTACAGTTGGAAAATGTGGACAAGGAATATCTAAATCCCATTGTTGGGTGTGTAAACACCTTAATTTCCAAAGCCATTGGACATGTGGTGCAAGAATCACACTTATGATGGCCCTTGGGCATACTGCTCTTTTCCTCACTATATCCAAAATCTGACCTGATAAGAATATCTTTTAAATTCTGAGTCCTTCTGAATCCAATTCTAGGTGTTAACTGGCATCCCGGGATGTCCTGCACCACATGCCAATATCTTTCAATAATTTTCTTAATGCCATAGGTGTGCTGGGAATACTCAAAAGAGCAGGTCATATGATTTTGTCTATTAGGATCCGCTTCAGGTGTTCTGGTCAACATATCTTTCCTTACAGCCGGTGCTGCTCTATTGCGTGCAGTTTTTATGATATGGGTGGGATAACCCCTTTCCCTAAATTGTTCACTCAAGTTATCACTGTCCCTCAAAAAGTCTTGTAAAAAAGTCTTGTAAACCATTAAATTTACATCACATTCAGATAAGGATATGGTCACCTTTTTGGACACAGTAGTCATTAGGACCTCCGACAATACATTGGCGGTGCGCACCTTTAAGAAGCCAACTGATCAGAACACTTACCTTCACTATCGCTCTTCCATCCAGTCCATATTAGAAATAACATACCTTATGGCCAATTTTTATGTTTAAGGAGGAATTCTACTTTTTTACAAGACTTTTTATGCGGAACAAAGC